GTTCCGCGGGCCGCCAGTTTGACATACCTAGCCTACTCATTTTTCCGGTTATAACAGAGTCTTTGTTTGCTGAGAGAATGAGGGACCGTCGTCCATCTATCAACTTTGTGATTACTAATCTTAATATTGAATTAAATTAGAGTAAGTTTCTATTCCTCCTCTCTTCACTCAATTTGACCGTCTTACCCTTCTATTAGCCTATTAACCATTTACCTCTTTTTTTTGCTCTAAGCTGTCTTGAATGGTCACTCTTCTACATCTTTTTGTATTAATGCGCATGCCTCACAGGGACTACAGTGTTCTTAATTTTAATTAATGACCTTCATGTTCATCAGTTCCCAACTTGGTATCTATGCTAATGACAAATATCATAAGACTTTCTTTTAACAGAGTACTGATTGGGATTCATTTGTGACTTTCTTTGAGATGCCCCATCGATTGATATTCTTGGCCTTCCTATTGTCAGAGAAGTTTCTTCTTGGGTTAAAACTGGCATTGATGCTTTTAGGCCTTCTTGTTTCACACCAGTCTGTTCAGCTGCTCTTAACCATTGCTGAATCATTTTTCTGGGTTTACCAGTGTGTTAGTTCCAGTCACAACAAACACCTATTTGTATCTGCTTGTAATAATTGTAAATGAGTCCTCAAAGAGGCTAAGTCTTTGTTGATAGAATGGGGTACTGTACAGCCTCTAAGAAGTTTGGTTCTAGTGATAAATAGCAGTTCTAATTGTTTTAAAATAAACGTAAGTTTTCTATTCCTCCTCCTCTTCACTCAATTTTAGGTGTTAACATCTTGATAAAGAAGAATGTTTTGTTTATAAATTCTCTTCAATTTCTACTCTTGACTCATCTGGAGTATCTTTGCCTGACTTTCCACTTGAGTTATATGCATATTGAGTTGTATGCATATAACTCTATCATCTCTCACATGGAGCCACACAAAGTTTGTTGACTTGATAGTATTCCTGCAATAGTCTTTAAGAAAGGAATCTCCTATTCACAAGAGTTTCTTTTACCAGTGTACTGATTGGGATTCATTTATGACTTTCTTTGAGGTGCCCTTTCGATTGATATTCTTGGCCCTCCTATTGTCAGAGGGTTAAAACTGGCATTGATGCTTTTAGGCCTTTTTGGAAATACCAGGTGAAACCACAATCTTCTCCTTGTTTCACACCAGTCTGTTCAGCTGCTATAGCCCACAGGAATCTTTTCTTTTTTTTTTTCTCGATGTACCCATGTGTTAGTTCCAGTCACAACAAACACCTATTTGTATCTGCTTGTAATAATTGTAAATGAGTCCTCAAAGAGGCTAAATCTTTGTTAGAATGGGGTACTGTACAGCCTCTAACAAGTTTGGTTCTAGTGATTACTGGCAGTTCTAATTGTTTTAAAATAAGCGTAAGTTTTCTATTCATCCTCCTCCTCTTCACTCAATTTGAGGTGTTAACATCTTGATAAAGCAGAATGTTTTGCTTATAAATTCTCTTCAATTTCTACTCTTGACTCATCTGGAGAATCTTTGCCTGACTTTCCACTTGAGTTATATACATATACCTCTATCATCTCTTAACTAAATCCTCACAAAGTCTGTCGACTTGAAGGTATTCCTGCAATAGTCCTTAAGAAATGTGCCCTTGAACTGGCTCCTGTTTTCTCTAAACTCTACAATAAATGCCTTGTATTTCTTGTTTTCCTGTTTGTTGGAAATCCTCTTCTGTAGTTCCGATCTTTAAGAACTCAGGTAAACCGTCTGATCCTTCCAAATATTAGATTTCAACCTCTTTTTGGTAAACTACTAATGGCCCTAATCACTGCTGAATTAAACGAAAAGAAATAATGCTATGTAATATCGGTACCATTTCATTACAACTGAAGTAGAGCCTTGAGGCAACAGAAATATGTCTCTAATGAAGGATACTGAGAATGCTATGGTGTGAACAGGTGAGCAATGACGAAGTTTTTGAGAAAATGGAAACAATAAAAATACTTAGCAACAGAAAAAGATATTTTAAATTTATAGATCATATAATGCAGAAAGAGGACTTGGAAAATTCTTGTATGAATATTTGTATGATTCCTCTGAAATCGTTCGTTATACGAACGAGTTTAAAGGCATCATGCAAATGTTGTACTCTCATTAATTCTTGTATCAATATATAAAACAAAGACTTTATGTAATTTATTAATTTAACAATTAATTATTTAAAAACAAGAAGTGCATAATAATAAATAATGCATTGCATTAGTTTTTACAATGTTGTAACTATAAAATTTTTTTTGGAAATAAACAATTTAATAAATAGTGAAATTGTGAATTCTTAAGAACAAAAAAAATCGTTTATTAATTCACAACATATTGAAGGCTAGAGAGACTGGGGAAAGCAGCCACCTAAGGAGTTTGTGTAGACAATTGGCAGAACAGGGGTTAGGAGAGATTGCAAAAATACGGGCTTTACTAACGTCTACAAAGTGTACGAAGTTGTTGATAGCCATGATCATTTACGTCCTTCAGGGAGACGGCACACAGAAGATGAAAAATATCAGATGGAAATTAAAATTTGGGCAAGGGAGATAATCGCAAAATAATTTTATGAGTTATTTCCCTTGCTATTCGTAATTTAGTGATAGTATTTTATATAGTTTCTAAGTTTTTATCTACTATGCACCCAATTTATATGAAGAAGTTCAGGGCCATTATACAAATTTTGTACTATTATTAATTCTTGTATCAATATATAAAACAATCCGTTTATGTAATCTATTTATTGATTTTTTTTTAAGCGTTTCATCCCAAGCAAGGCGGGAAGCCACTAGCACGCAAGGGGTTACAGAGAGTTGGAGCGAGAGCAAAGAGGGGTAATAGAGGAAAGGATGAAGAGACGGTTAGGGGATAGATCAAGGCATCTGGAGACGTCAATTGACATTATATTTGAATAGTTGGAGATTATAGCTATCAGGGAAACTGGAAAAGGGGAGGGAGTTCCACAGGCGAGAAGTGCGAGACATGAAGCTATTGGAGTAGAAGAGACGGCTAAATTTAATCGTTTCGATAGTGAAAGGGTGAGAGCGAGATACCAGCCTAGTAGAGCGCTTAAATTCATGAAGTCTGGGAACCAGCGAAAGCAGCTCATTGGAGCAGTTACCGTGAAAGTATTTGTAAAAAAGACAGAGGGAGGCAACGAACGGCACGTCTGTGAGAGAGCGACTGCAGACGAGATGCCAGATCAGGGCCAATTACATTGCATATCCGTCTTTGGATTTTATCAAGGACCTTGAGACAAACAAAAGGGGATCCAGACCATATATGGCAGCAATACTCCATGTAAAGGCGAATGGTTGATTTGTAGATTTGAAGGATTGACTCCGGTGAGAAAGATTTCTTGGCGCAGCACAGGCAGCCGACTTTCCTTGCGATGGACGAATTTAATAATTAATTATTTAAAAGCAAGAAGTGCATTACTTTTGACTGAATTTCCGGGATCTTTTCATTGGAGTCGCTAGATTACACCCATCCATTGTTGCACATAGAGCCTTCCTGGAGTGTTGCAGTGATTTCCAAATAGAGCAGCACGCCTCATAGATGCGATAGAAGAGGATAGCCGGTGAGGCGGAATATTTGAAAGACAATCAAAGATTTAAAAACAGTTTCAGAAACTCTTATGCCAAAAATAAACATGAATTCAAAATTTTAAATATTATTATGGATTATTTGTAATTGTACGCATGAGTTCCGGTATAAAAAGTTATAAATAATTATTGATCGATTTTATTGTTCTGATATTTTTACATTATGTCAAGTATTAAAAATATACTAACTAGGCCCCGCAAATTGGAGGAGAGAGTTATCAATAATAATGTTCTGACTTCGAATCTGTGGTTATCTCCATTTATCTCTCTCTCTCTCTCTCTCTCTCTCTCTCTCTCTCTCCTCTCTCCTTTCTCTCTTCCATCTTCTCTCTTTCTGTCCTTCCCTCTCTCTACCTGTCTCCAGCCCCTTCTCTATCTCTCTCTCTCTCTTTTTTTTTTTTTAAATGTACGGTTATTATTTAAAAACAAGAAGTGCATAAAAACAATGCTTGGCTTCTTCACAAGTTGAAAAATTGTTGTGTCTCCGGACGAATATTTTAACTGGTTCAGTCTGTCGTGTCAATGAGGGAGGCGCTGCCACAGGATTGAAATCACCAGGGCTGAGCAACTTCTTCCATTTTTACAATGAGGAGAAACATGGCTCTAATTACAGTACAGGGGCGTTAAAGACGCCTCGATAAGCCCTCAAAGCTTAACTCCTGTACCACTGTGATAGAGTACATTTCTCCATCAAGTTTTAGCTAATTATTTTGTTTTGCATTGATTTAAATCTTTTAAATTATTGATTTTTGATCCATACGATATTGCAGCATTGCATTTTTTTTATTTTGTTTTATAATTACGTTCGACCTTTTTTACTTTACTAATTTAATTTTGTATGATAAATATTGGTCACAAATATTGAATTAGATTTCAATTTTTATTTCCGGAAAAATAGTTGAATTAAATTCTATTGTATTTCGAACACAGTATTTTTCGTTTAATTTCGAATGTACGACTGAAGTTGAACTCAAAACATGGTGCAATTTAAAACAAAATTCCGCGCGATATAAGGGAGATAACTCAATATTTGGTAAACAGAAATCGGAAGTAAACTCACTTTTGACTGTCGTAAATATTCTAAAGCGAAATACTTATATAATAATTTCGTGTGATAAATAAAGCAACTTTCCTTGAAACTAACATTTAAAATATATATACTTCTAGCTAAGAAATAAATTTTTTTTCTAAATTGTTGAAAATCTATTTTTCATTTTTTCCTCTTTTAATGTTGCATGAATATTACGACAGTCTCCAACGAATGCGAACAGTCTGACACGTGCTGAACTGTTGTTTTCCGAAATTTATAGTACGTCTTTCTCTAATTGAAATAATGACTAAAAAGCATAAAAAAATGGAATCGGAATCTGATATGGAAAGTATCGATTCAGATGAAGAAGTAAGTAGCTTTTTTATTTACTTATTTTCAGATGTGAATAATTTTATTTATGTCGTAAACTCCGAACTTGTTCAGTATTTCCTCTCAACAACGTGCTTTTTATTTTTTCGTTATTTTGTAAAGGAAGTATTATTTAAAATTTTAACTAAGTTATTCGGCATATTTTCTGTTTAAATTATTTTTGGGTCATTTGATTATATGAACTGTTTCTTGAAAAGAATATCCCAATAAAAAAAAAAATAATAAATGTTTTTTTTTTTTGTTTTTTTTTTTTTAAAAGTTTCAAACAAAATTTAACAATGTTCATATCGTTACTTATTTTTAAACTTTTCTTCAAGTTATGTTATAAAACTCTTAAAAAATAAATCCAAACCTTAAATCGATGAAATAATTAAGAAAAAAATATTTATCCCGATTGAATGGTGATTTTTTTTTTAAACTAAAAGCAGACATAAAAAAAAAAAATCTATCTAGAGCTGAAACTGATGGAAAAAAAAATATCTGAAAGTAAAATTAATACCTCAGACATTTTGACGATTTTTTTTTTTTTTTAAAGGTTTTGCTGGTACTGTTAAGTTTAGCGTTACAAACGATTTCCGCATAGCAACCACTTGTCTTTAAGTCATGCATCAGAAATATAACGAAAAAGCATCCAAAAGGCAAAATAATGGATCTCCCCCTCCTCTTGTTCGTTTTTTTTTTTTTTTTTTAAACCCCTTCGAAAATAAAAACTGAAATTTTAACTTAATCATCGCAAAGAAAAATGCAGTGACGTATTTAAATTAAATACACTGTAACCCGGATATAAGAGAGATTTTCTCTGGTCCCAAATTAGAGCCCATACTTACCTAAACAAAATAGACCAAACCCGGATATAAGAGACTTCTTCTCCGGTCCCGACAACTCTCTTATATCCGGATTACACTGTATACATATTAAGAAGAGATTTTCGGCACATAAGTTCACAGAAAGAAGTTGTGGGGGACAAACAAATTTCGTTTGAAACAGAGAAAATGCTGAACTATCAGTCCTAATCAATGAGGGCTGATACTACATATAACATCCTAATGTATGGATTGGTATTCTCATAGATGAAGCTGTCGAAAATTCTTTTGATTATAAAGGTCGCTAGAAGCCGGTTCGCTACAGTGTAAATGTTGCAAAACACTATATCTCAGCCGAAATCCAGAGATCAGTTATGAGAGGACGAGAGCTCACGGAACAACTCTGTTTGTCATAAATGCTTCTCACAAATAAAAAATGGAGAAGGGAGGAGAGGCAGTAAGTTACCTTAAGTAACAAGGTGGCAGACCTGCACATCTCTCTCCTTTCGGTAAAACGATTTCAAAAACCAGAGCTCAGAGCGGCCTTGCTTTGGAGAACCAGCATAGCAAACACTCTGACCACAAACCAAACACCAACAGGTAATTTCACTTATTTTTCCACAAAGCAACAGAAATGTGTTTCTACAGAAGGATACTGAGAATGCCATGGACTGAACCTGTGAACAACAATGAAGTTTTAGAGAAAATGGAAACAAAAAGAACACCTATATACTTAATATCAGGAAGAGAGAGTTGAAATTTCTCAGGCACATGATGAGGAAAGAGGGCTTGGAGAATTTGATACTCCCAGGAGAGATTGAGGGCAAGAGAGCCAGATGAAAACGACACAAAGCATACTTAGTGACCTTGGGTAAATAGATGGTGGAACAGGTTTTAGGAGAAATAACAAAAAAGAAAATTTATTGAGCACTACAAATTGTGGAGGACCATGATTGCCAATGACCTGAATGGACACAGCACATAGGAAAAGAAGGTCTGCTTGTAAAAAGAAAAAATTAGGTGGGGGTTGAAAAAAAAAAAACTTGGAGAGTTAACTGATACCAAGACATCTGGAAGAGGTATGGCATGTGGAACTAGAACAATCTACCCCGGTGGACGAAATAAAGGGTTCAATTCGAAATTCCAATTACCTGAAGAAGGCCAGAGCGTACAATGACTGAAACGTCATTAATATGGCAACAAAGATCAGTACAACAGTCCAAACAATGTAAATAGTGTAAATGATTTAAATCAATTTTGCAAAAATCTTTATTTAGGGCAAAAGATTTAGAAATGAAACGTTTTTTTTTTTGGTTTCATGTAATTTAATGAAGAGAAAAGTGTTAAACATATTCAATTTTATATTAATCAACTGAATATATATATATATATAATGAAATGGACAAAGTTCGATAATTATTTTAAGACATTTTTATGTTTATACGTTCTTTTTATAGATACAAATATTTAAGTAAATGCTCTGTTTATAATAAACAGTATTATTAGCATTTACCAGCTTGAATGTCCAAGAAATTTTCATAGAAAATATGCATCTTCCAACAGGAATCGCACCTGTATCCTATAGTATAGTTTAAAAGCAGTAAAATCGACCTTGCTAACCAAACGCTCCTCTGTGGCTCAATCGGTTAAGGCACGTCAGACTATATGACAGCTCCGTATTGGATACAGGTTTGATTCCTGTTGGAGGACGAATATTTTCTATGAAAATTTCTTGAGTCATCAGGAGAGAATGTACACCGTTTCGGGGCCATCCTCTCAACAGTTTCAGTTGCACACGGCCCCCCCCCCCTCACTGATGTGAGGCCCCATTATAATGATATACAAGTATTGTAGATAAACTAGTTCAAATGTGTAATGGTGAAATTAAATTTACGAAAATTCCGAAAAACGGCAAACCTCGCGTTCTGAGAATGCAACATGAACCTCATTACGCATTCATGTCATGCTGTCATGTTCGCTGAAACACCCCACAATATTTCGTTTTTTCCATATCCACATAGAACTATTCTCAGTTACTTCTATTAGGCATTTTATACTTTTGGCCCTATTACGCCCTTTGATTCCAGTTTGACCCAGAAATTGGTACAGAGTGCCTGAAACGAAACCCCTTGCTCCAATTTCCACTGCTCTAACAATTGCATTATACTCCTCCTTTATTAGCTCTGATTTTAGATTTTCATATTTATTAGTTTTATAATCGTGGCTTTGTTCCATCCGGCATTCATATGGTACTGTTAATTCAACCAGGATGATTTTATAGTTCACCCTTGACAGAAGAACAATATCTGGTCGCAAACCTTTACTTGATATTATTTTGGGGTAATCATTACACCAACCAGGAAGGTCTGCAGATATATGTATTGTAAATAATAAAATGATATCCTGAGTTTTTTTTTTTTTGTTTTTTATTTTATTTACAGTTGCAGCAGGCATTTGCTAAGGATGTGCTGAAACCAGGCTTGAACCTTGAAGTGGCTCCAAAGAAAGAATTTATTAATCGAAAGGTAAGAGTACTTTCTTGGAGGAGGGGGGGGGCTCTATTGAAACTTTCCATAATATCACCCACTTTCAGTATTCTCCAAATTTCTGTCATATGTGAAAATAATAGGAAAATACTATCAGAGGTTGTAAATGGAAAAGCTTGTTTTACACCTAGGGCTTACAGTTTTTTTGTTTTTTCATTGCCAAGACACAAAGCACTCACCTGTTTCTTAGTCGTGGATGACAGTCTTTGTTTTAGAAAGTAAATCTTTAGCCCTGAATTATATTGGAGGCTTGTGCAGCTGCACTTGCATATCACTTAGATTTCATTAAGATGACCAGCGATGGGACTGTGCAGGAATGTTTAGGGTTCAAAATATATCTTCTGTACTTTAATGCAGAAGTGAAACTCGTCTGTTTATAGATACTCTGTTGGTTGGGCTCAAGAATATGTACGGTGATTGTATCCCTGAACAGTTTGACATGTTTATGTCCGCCTTTTTCACTTCAGTACAAAGTATTGTTCCTCAAAACAGCAGAATTCTGAATTAAATAACGTGGAAAAGGTTGAAATTCAGTAAACCAAAACAAACCAGTTTACAAATTTTTTTCCATATACCTTTTGATATTCACATTATGCACACACACACACACACACACACACACACACATATATATATATATATATATATATATATATATATATATATATATATACACTACAGTTCAAAAGTTTGAAGTGGCTCCCAGAATTAGCTTGGGATGAAATTGACAGAAGAGTGAAACCTTTCCATCCCAAAAATGAAAAATAGCTCTTAGAGTCATTGAAAAATGAATGGAATCAATTATCAAACTTATACTTTGAGAAACTTTTGCAACGAATACCAAAAAATTGTGCTGCGGTATTCTAGGCTAAAGGAGGATATTTTGACAAGAGCAAAATTTAATCATAAAATGCTTTTTTTTTTTTTTTTTTTTTTTTTTTGTCATAATAAAATTTCTAATAAAAAAAATCATGTCTCACTTTTTTTTTTAAACATGTATAATTATTTTCTCTTCTTTAAGTACAAAACAACTAATTTTGGGCTAATTTAAAATTTACCAGGACGTTCCTCTAACTTTTAATTTGTAGTGTAGGTATATATAGGTGAAAAACGTTATTTCATGTCATTAATTCTATCACACATATGTATGTGTGTGTGTGTGTGTGTGTATGCATGTATATGTGTGTTTGTATATATATATATGTGTGTGTTTGTATATATGTGTTTGTATATATATATGTTTGTGTGTGTGTTTGTATATATATGTTTGTGTGTGTGTATATATATATATATATATATGTTTGTGTGTGTGTATATATATATATATATATTTATGTGTGTGTATATGTATATATAATGTATATATATGTAAAACATTGTCATTTTACAATTTATGTTTAGTCCTTTCTTCTCCCTTTCCTTTGCTACCTTGTCTCAGAGTTCCTGCATTTACCTTTTTATGTCTGTTATCAGCATGGTGTTGCATATCTTAAATTGTTAAGATTAGTCATGTCAGTAATAAATCCCGGTGAGACTCCTATTTCGTTTTGGAACATCTTGACATAAATGATGTCAAGTGTCCATTTGCGAGTTCACTGGGCACCCCATCTCTCTGGATCATTATTTGCTTCTGAGAAAAAGAACTTCTCAATCGTAGATTCCATAATGAAAATGTTATTTTCTTTAATCTCTGCAATTGTTTGGCTTTTGTCTTAAGCTGAAATGAATGTCTTCATCTCTCTTCAGAATGATATGAAAGCCGTGTTGGAAAAATTTAAACAGAACCTTGACTGGATTGAACGCCTTGATTTGACCACAAAGCCACCAGCACCAGAGGAGGAGGAAGAAAAGGCTTCCCCTGAAGACAAAAGTGTCCACGATGATTTCCGAAGAGAATTAGCATTGTAAGTCGGGTTTAAGTAAACTACAAAAAAAGAAAAAATTCTACCAAGTGGATGCATTCATAAGTCCATAGCTTGATGTATACCTGTTGTATAAGATTATGTGTCATTGCTGACACTGTGGTTTGAAACTAGATTGCCAGTAAGTAACATGGGCGATCCCATTATTAAGTAGATCACATGATCATAAAGGAAGTGAATAAATAAGAAGTAGCATAATAACTATAAGATCACTGTACACTCTTCTTGTCTATCCACTATTGCAATCACGTTCACTCTCTCTACTCTAGTACTATACGGATTATGATTCTCTTCTGATCATTATACTATTTGACGATTACTACTTGAACAAGTATTACTAGTGCGGGTATCAAAGGGAAGGCATTACTACTAGTACCGGTGTCTATAAAGGCTCAAATATAATGAGAATTTTTGGAAGGGATAACAAGCTTCCTCTTGACATAGCAAAAGTGACAAGCGAAGCTGTCCAACATCACAAAAGTACCTGATGAACTTCAATCTTGATTTATGTCCGAAAAGTATCCAGCCATTGGAATTAATTAAGAATTCAGCTATTCTCCATTTAACAACTTATTTCCCTCCCCTCCACTATCCGAATTACGGCCAGATGGGTGGGGGGGACCTTTACACTGTACAAAAACTTTGATCACAATTGTTTTCATTTTTTTTCAAAGTAAATCAAAATAATGTGAATAATAAAATTAAAAAAAAAAAAAAAAATGCAAATATGGACGGAGAGGCAAAAAGGATGTTTTTTTTTTTTTTTTTTTAACTCCCTTCACTCTTTGGCAATGTTCATTGTTTTAAAAAGCGTTTATTTGAATTTAAATAAAACCTAAACAGAATGAAAGTGAATTTGTATATGTTCTTCAAAATTTACAACAAAAATATTAAACACTATTTATTATTTTGTTATATTTACAAATATAATTTATTTACAACATTCTAAAATTAATACAATTAAGACTAATGCAATGAAAACTTTATCATTTACCAATTTATAAAGAAATACATTTAAAAACAATTTATTTATAAACATTTAATAAATTATTAAAAATATGTGAACCAACTCTAAGGAAATGCTTATTTGCCATTTTATAAAGTTTGAGTCAGTTGGCAATTAGCCGATGTTTAATGAACCAATCCAATAAATAATAGAGTAAATAAACAAGCTAATAAATAATGTATATTATTTTTGTTGTCGATTCGAAAGAACAAAGAAAATGTATAAATTCATTTTGATATGTTTAGGTTTTCGTTACAATTCTAAGCCTCGCCTTTTTAAAAAGATAAACATTGCCAAGAAGTGTAAGTAGTTAAAATAAAAGTGGTGCCAGAGGAAAACCATCCTTTTGTCACTGTGTAGACACATTTAATCGTATTTGCAAAAAAAAACCCATTAAAATTGTTGTAGATTCCGAGATGAATTCGGTCTCCAAGGAATGACAAACGCAATAATTAAATATAAGAAATAAAATGTATTTACACAATCATACAAAGAGTAATACTGTTAGTAAATCCAGGAACGCAGTTAGTAGCAAATACAGATAGATATATACAGTCTCGAAGTAGGACTTCCTTAGAGTCTACGTGCTTGTAACTGACTTCTACAAGAGGTTACCTCACACTATCTCCGTTCGTATATTCTCTGACTCTAACTATATCCTCTCTCTATCCGACTACCCTCACTGACTGTCTAACTCTGGGTATTTAACGGCAGCAGTCCAGGTACACTGGTAGAGTCCACTTATATGAAAAGGGGGAGGACCCCATAACAAAAACCTACATGATTGAAGGAAAATTTAAGACTATTACTGATATTAAAGAGAATGTATTGAAGGATTTTTTTTTTTTTTTTTTTTTTTTTAAAAATGTTTTGAAATTTGTAAGAGATGCTGTGAGAAGTGTGTGAGGTCCTAAATGGTGTATTTTGAAGGAGACAGTTGCCCTACGTAGGCTATTGCAACCACTTAGCAACTGTGTTAGATTTAACTGATCAACCTGGATATAATGATAAACTACATCTGTCAGGCTTCTGATCAGGAGATTGGACATCTTGAGGGGTGTAGAACCGCTTAATTGCTGTTATTCCAAGGCCTGCTCTGACCAGTTAGGGTCCCAGGGACAGATAGTGACCCCGCCACACACACACCAAAATCAACAGTACATTTTTTATAAAGAAATAATCAACAATACATTTTTATAGCAAAATGCAACATTGAAAAAAATTTTAAAATATACTTTTATTAGTAAAATTACTAACCATGTATTTTATAATCTATAAAATATATATCTAGAAAAACATGCCTTTACTTTAAAAGTATAAAATTCCATACAAAATATTTAGATTTCAGCATTAAATGACCCATAGAAGTGTTGATATGTTGCTAAACAAAATCAACCAACCAAAATCCAAATATTTAGATTTCGGCATTAAATAACCCATAGAGGTGTTGATATGCCGCTAAACAAAATCAACCAACCAAAATCCAAATATTTAGATTTCGGCATTAAATAACCCATAGAGGTGTTGATATGCCGCTAAACAAAATCAACCAACCAAAATCCAAATATTTAGATTTCGGCATTAAATAACCCATAGAGGTGTTGATATGCCGCTAAACAAAATCAACCAACCAAAATCCAAATGTTTAGATTTCGGCATTAAATAACCCATAGAGATGTTGATATGCCGCTAAACAAAATCAACCAACATAAAATCATGGCATTAGGCCATATAATGTCCTGCAACTTAAAGAGATCAAACTGTATTCCAAATGTTGTAGCATAACTACAGACAATAATGGATATGTCCCCATTCATATAAATACTATAGTAAATACTGTATGTTGGTCTGCAGTTGGAGATTCATTGTGGAATTCACTTGACTCACTTTTAGCAGTTGACTACTTCTTCTATGTGCTTCTGAGGAATCTTATATGTGTTGTTCTTGTCCTAAGTATTATCATTCATATCCAACCTTCATGTGATTATTCTATTCAGTAAGCTTCCCTAGAATCCAACACCAAAATACAACTCAACACAAACTTGTATGCTTACAAACGTTGTGTATCATCTACTATGTATTGAATTGAAAAACCAGAATAACCTCCGCGTCCTGGGCAAGACAATAAACTATGTCCAACAGCAAGGCCTCTGATCAGGAGGTTTTGAGAAGCATGGAACCACCTCTTAATTGCTGACGTTCCCAGGTCTACTCTGACCCGGGGTGGTGGCACCTGTTAGGGTCCCAGCTATGAGCAAATAGTTAACACCCAAACTTGTGTAAAAATAGGTTTTAATACCAGAAATACTTTGTAATAAAAAAATTATTACCAGCAGTACTTAAAAAAAAACAGTAATACAAACAGCTATACGTTCTTTGAAAAAAAAAAAGAAATTGGAGAATGGAGCTCAGAATACAAAAATAGTGCTAACAAAATATTACCAAGTGAATAATTTAAAAAAAAAAAAAAACTTTTTACGCAAATAAAACCATCCAAGATTGTAAATTTCCTAAAAGAAGTTGGATTATACTCATGAGCAAATAAAAAATGGTTCAAATATATATGTATAGATACACACCTTTTCTTTCTTTCTTTTTTTTTTTTTTTTTTTAACAACTATCGCTATGAATCTATTTCAAAAATTTTGTTGGTATTAAATGACCCACTGAGGTTTCGATATGCCATAAAACAAAACGACCAGAATAACATATCATATTTTTATTTCTTCAAAACTCCCAAGAATATAACATTTTCAGCATTGAATGACCCACAAGGAGTTGATATGTCGTTAAATTAATCAACATTTCAATGAGCTGGTCTTTAAGTGAGAAGTTGTACCTGACTGCTATTTCAGTCATTCTATGTGTGTAATGAGTTTGTGGCAACCATTTGCAATTTATTTTTAAATGTTTATATAGAAAGAAATTCAGAAATTAATCCTATATTCCGTACATTATTTCGTATACTGTAAGTTGTGTATAAGTAAATTTTGATATCTGTCTGAATTTCTGTGATAGAGAAGTTGTTATTTAAACACAGATTTACATTATTTTCTTTTATTTTTTCCTTCCATTTTGTTTCTTTTCCTCCTCCTCTTCTCTCTTCTCTATCATCATTTCTTCCTCTCTTTCCTTTCCTTTCTCATCTCCTCTTTTTCTCTTCTCACCCTCAGCTTGTTACACTCTTTCCTCTATCTCTCACTTCAATTCCTCCTTCCCCCTCTCGTCGCTCCCCTGTCTCCTCTTTCCCCCTCCCTCTCGTCGCTCCCCCGTCTCCTCTTTCCCCCCCTCCTCTCGTCGCCCCCCCCCCCTCTCCCCGCTCCCCCTCTACTCACCCTTTCTTCATTCTCCGTCTTCTCTTTCCTCTCCTACCAAAATTCCTTTACTCTCTCAGTTAATGCTGTCTTTTATTCTCCTTTCAGTTACAAACAAGTCCAAGCCTCAGTGCTGCAGGTTTTACCAAAACTGAATCGCCTTGGCATCCAAACTCGTCGACCAGATGATTATTTTGCAGAAATGGCAAAATCTGATCGACACATGAAGAGAGTAAGTTTCTCCATTTCATAGTATGGGTGTCCAAATGGGGAAAAAGAAAAAATTACATTTATCTTTCATCACTGAATAATTATCCTCACAGCTTTGGACCAGTCAAGCCAAGGTTTAATAGCAGCACAAATGATTGACACTGGATAATTTCCATATTTCTCAATTATTGAAACCTGATTGTCATTTTTCAATAACGTGTTGAAAGAATAAAACTCATTTGCACGCAGTTATTTTAATTTCAATTAAAAGGTGCAATTATAACTTAGAAATTCATGAATCATTCATACAAAAAAACAAATATTGAAATTAAAATAACTGATCCAACATGCAACTTTCAGATAATAAGTGTGACATTACTGTAATTATTGAACAATATAGTTCATGCCATATTCACGGAAAATCTACCAGTAAAAAAGAATTCTCTTATTGCTATATTTGTACAAAAACGCACAACCTTAAAATTTAAATTCAAACTCAGCGTTGCGACCGCACGTTCCAAAACAATAACACATTTCTCATAGCATTTATTCGGATTACATCTCTATTTTCGTTGTCCTCTTATTACTGAGAAGTACAAACAAGAACAAAATCTACTTCCATACCTGATGATGTCTGTAGGAACAGACGAAAGCTTGTAAAAAATTAAAAAGACCTCATGCAACTGGAATTTATAAACAGGGATCATATCATTCACATACAGGTTCAGGATTGGTGTATCTTATTTATGTGTTTGTGACGATGTATTCTCGCCATTTAAATCATTAACCTCTATATTTGTTTTTTGTATGAATGATTCATCAATATATATATATATATTAATTTCCTCTAGTATATAGATTACTCTATCCAAGTTGTCAACACCAAGAGTCTTCTGAACACTGAGCTTTCATAGCTAGGTCCTATCACCAGCTCACCTCATGGTGGGTTTTGATTGACTAATAATGCTGCTATGTAGATTATATACTATCGCCACCATTTTCAATGTTCCTCTTCAACAACCATGCAATTGGTCAAGGGGAGTTAACTCAATCATCTTAACACTAACATGTTTCAATTTTATTAAAACTTCATACAAGATTGAGATTTGGGGAAAGAAATTCTGATTTTAGTGTTGTTTGATTTTCTTGGTGAAGCGGGCTTCACTTGCATTTGACTTTTTAAGCAGCATTAGTGTAAGTTATGGCTTTCTGAACTGAAGAGATGACTTCTTTCAAAGCTCAAAAAATAAGATTCTAACACACGCACACACATACATACACACACACATACATACACATATATATATATATATATATATATATATATATATATATATATATATTTTTTTAGTGTATTGAGCACTTTACATAGTTGTCATTTTACTCGTTTTGTTTTTTTTGGGGGGGGGACTTGGCACTTAAACACTTGACAATTGTTTTCGCTTTGTTTTAATGTTCTTGGTTCTTTTTTTATTTTCCATTTTTCCTTGGGTACCGATTGCAAGTTGAGCTATCCGAGGTTTTTCCAGACGAATACTACCATTTTTATATGTATATGTGTGTGTGTATATATATATATATATATATATATATATATATATATATATATATATATATATATATTTATTTTTTTTTTTTTTTTTTTTTTTTTTGCAAAAGAAGTTAATCTGGAGACAAATTCAAATCACTTTATCACTACGTATTTTATTTACTAGAATGTTGCCTGTCATATGGTGATGTTTAGTATTGGGAATAATATACATCTGTAACTGTTTCATATCAAGTTTTGTCATTTTTGGTCATCCATATTTGACTCTGTACCCTTCTCTCTTTCTATCAGTCATTCACTCTCTTTCTTTCACATTCACACACACACACACACACACACATTGCTCTTGTTTATAGACTAAGTATTGCAAATTATTATTGCTGATCCTCTCAGCCACTTTTTTTTTCCATCCACGTCACTTCTGTTTCACTTCTCTCTCCTTTCAGATCCGTGAGAAATTAATTGCAAAGGAAATCTCTATGGAAAAATCGGAAAAAGCGAAAAAATTGAGACAAGCTCGCAAATTCGGCAAACAGGTAAGCTAACGGGAATCAAAAAGAAGACAAATAAAGACTGTTTATTCAGGTATACCATCTTTTTATCTGAAATTATGAAAACAGAACATCTAAATTTAACCCTGACTCCTGTATGGATAATATTCACAAATTTTCTCAGCAGAGATGTTTGAGATTCAAACTTGGCTGAATCATGGTTGGAACGCAAATATTCTAACCGTTTGTCCATGCACCTGTATTCAGAATAAAGAAGCAAATAAAACCTCTTGAAGAATTTATACCTTGACATTCTTATGTTAAATGCTGGTCCTTTGGTCTAGTGTCTGACATGAGTTAACTAACCTTTTGACTTTCATGTTGAACGGTATGCTTCAGAAGAACAATTAATTGGCATGGTTCGGATATTGACCTGTACTTTTAAGAGTCCTGTTCTTTATTCTGATGGCCATAACATGTTGAAAGAGTATTCTTATACAATTGTTGACCATGTTTGCCGCAGTCTCTGAATATGAAATCCAGTGAAGTCCGTAATCTGTTCAATATCAGAGGTCGGCAGTGAAGATTCAGAGAAAGTAGCGGTTGTTAAGTAATTCTTTAAGTCTTCAATATCAGGTTGGCAGTGCAGACAATTTGGGTTAGAGAAAAAAAATGGCTGCCTTTATACACGTCGCATTGAATATTTTGAGCTTTCTGATTGGTTAACCCTTCTATTGTTGAACTATAAAATGAGTCAGCTCATTTTGACTTGCTCACTAGTACATATATATATATACACAAAAAACTGCAACAACAATCACCAAAGTTAAGCAACACTGTGCTTGATCAGTACCTAAATGGGTGACCACATGGATGTACAGATGGTATAATGGCTTGGAATTGGAGATCGGGGAGCCAAGTTGCAATTCCAATTAGGTTCATTGTATTCACTTATGTATAAATACCCTTGGGATACGTATTAACCCACCTCTTCACAAGCACCACCTCACCAAGCTCTATGTTAATTAGTAGGACATGTATCAATCAATCATTATTATCTCCAAAAAATTCTTAGTATTTAAAAATTGGAAATCCAAGTTCCAAATCCTGTCCACTTTGTTATATTCGCTTACCAGCACGTACCCTTTGGAAAGGTATGAACCCACCTCTTCTCTTCCTCGCCTCAGTTATGAATTAATTTGTAGGACTTGTAACCATAAATCATTATTATTTCCAGAAAAATCTTTTCTAATAATGTTTTCTGGCTTTAAATAACCTGCAAATGTTTGATAAATCATGAAAAAACAAATCAATTTATTCTATAGTTAATTTGTTGCATTCATTTATAAAAAAAATACCCTTGGGAAAGGTGTGATGGTGTCTCCTCTTGAATATTTAATTTCCATCTTTGAATAGATTCCCTGCAATGAGACAATTTCAATAAGCTCTCTTACAACTCTAGGCTCAATATTATTTAAGATTTTGTCTTTTCAAGTGCGCATTGTGTGATGAAAATCCTGCATTCAGCATAAAGATTAGGCAGGTGCTAATTGTGAATGCAATGGTCAAACATGAAGCAGTCTCTTTCAGGAGTATCTTACTGGCGACCGAGTAACCTCATGGAAGAGTGCTTTTTTACATGTACACAGTAAAGTCCACTGGTCATTAAGACTACTGTTTTTTTGAGATGTTCAAGATGGATGGATAACATTTCGACACACTTTTATCATGCTCGACCTTTGTGATTCATATTCAACATTAAATGCAACGTCAACAGAGGGGAATCTTTTTTTTTTTTTTTTTTTTTTAAACTCATGCATTTTTATTTTTTTTATTTTCTATTATTACGTTAATGACATATTGAGTCAGACACATAACTTCTCTTTTTTAGTTTTTTTCCTCTTTAAAATGCTATGGCCCCTTCAGAATATGGCCGATCATGGCTCACCGCATCTTACTTAGTAACCAAGTCGTTGGATTGTAACCCAGTTGTTAAGTAAAGGGTGGCTATGATGAGATCACGTAGACCGGGGCTACTGAATCGCAAAGAACTTTACCAAATAACAGAAACAAACATCACTTGAAAACTTTCAACAGAAGCAACAACTAAAATGGATAGCACATGTAACTGAAAGGGTAAACAATGATATAATCAATATGTGGAGTAATGGATAGTGGCTAGGATTGAGGAATCGGAGAGCCGAGTTCGAATTCTAGTCAAATCCCTTATATTAACTTACATACTAATACCCTTGGGAAAAGAATGAATCCTCTTCTTCTCTCCCCACCTCAAGCTATGAGTTAATAGCAGGACAGACTGGGTTCTATAGCTTTGGATGGCAACTGGTCTACCGCAGAAAGAAATGATAACTTTCTGCGGGGAAAAAAAAAATACTGCTTCATCAGTCATGTATTGAAAGATAGATGGTCGCCTAAACGTGTATCACACATGGCACACAACTGACTGATATTCACTTACGCACAAATACCCTTACGAAAGGTATGAATCCTTTTCTTCTCTCCTTCCGTCTATGGGTAAATAGCAGGACAGACCGGATTCTATAGCCTTGAATGGCAATTGGTCTACAGCAGAAAGAAATGACAACCTACTGCTGGAAAAAATCTGCCTCGTCAGTGTGTAACTGACTGACCACTGGGTACTGAAAATCGACCGATTCATACTCCTCTCTGGTCTTTAGAGAGGTTTATCCTTTGTTTCTAGTTTGATTGGGTCTCCGGTCCCTTTTAAAATCTCTTTCACTTCCAGTAGACCCTTGTGTCTTAATGGCATTATCGCCTTCCTTTGGGTGAAATGATTAAAAAAAAAAATCCTAAATTATTATGAAATGACCAAATGATGAAAATCCTATTTTACGTATATTTTCTACCTTTTCTCAGAGTAATGGCTTCCAGCAAATGAATCTTGTAATTCCCAAGACCATCCATTATCAAATCTTATAGTCTGGCACAACTGAATCGCAAAGAACTTTACCCAAATAACAGAAAAAACATCACTTGAAAACTTTCAACAGCAATAAAAATGGATAACATGTAACTATAAAGGGAAATAATATTGTCAAGATGTGAACTTGAGAAACCTATCTTCCTGAAAAATTGTTTTAATAGAAGGATTTTATAAATTTCAACCGAGGGTAACACTAAAATCAATGAATTCCAAATGTTTCCTTATAAAGAAACGTCTAATCTCAACACGACCAATTCACGAGTGATGCAATGCAATCACAAAGTATTGTTTTTTGCAACTGCAGCTTTCATAAAACTAAATATGCTAAAAACAGAATGTAGTTTTTGCCAAATGCTGTCTATGGATGTCGAATTAGGGACAAGTTAACAATCTTTAATTGCTTTTCTTTCTTTCCCTCTCACTTCTTTTTATTTATTTTTCTTTGATTTTTGATGGAATTTTTTAATGGTGCTAAAACCGGAATAAAATCTAAAAATGTTTTTTTTTTTTTTTTTTTTTTTTTTTTTTTTTTTTTTTTTGTTCAGATTTTGTAAAAAGACTAATGTTGACGTTTCTGTTTCCATTTCTCGTCTTCTTGTTTAGGTACAAGTGGAAGTTTTGAAGAAAAGGGCCCAGGAAAAGAAGAAAATGCTGGAAGAAGTGAAAAAATACAGAAAAGGTGAGGAAAAAATTCATGGCAGTCAAATTCTGGAAAGTATTTCTAGAATCCTTCCTTTGAATCAACTTTTTTCTTTTCTTTTAAGTGACATTTTTAATGAGTAATAGTAGTAGTAATCCAAAATTTGAACTTGAAATATTAAAAAAAAAATGTAAAGGACTTCAAAATGATAATTAGGATCACTGGTCTTCTTTTATGTGGCATGTCTCTTCAGGACGTTGGCGATCATGACTCTCCACAATTTCCTTTCCTTTGATATACTATAAAGCAAACCAAACCAATTGAAGAAAAAAATTATTCCCTGTGATGTATTTTTTGGAAAGGAAATATTACCAACATTAAATAACCCATTGAGGTTGATATACTGTAAAGCAAACCAAACCAATTGGATACATGGTCAATGATACTCAGCTATTATGATATACATGTTTTTGTGAGCATAATTACTAGACGTCGATGTGTGTTTTATGCTATAGTTTTTGTTGAAGTTATATCTTGGAATACAGTTTGATTTCTTTAAGAAATTGTAGGATATTATATATGAAAGAATTCTTTCCTGTTGTATGATTTTGTTTGTCGGTATATGAACACATTTATAGGTCATTTAATGCCAAAATCTGAATATTTTGTGCGTAATTTTATGCTTTCACTGTAAAGGCACATTTTTTTTTTTTTTTTTTTTTAGATATACATTTTGTAGACCATAAAATGTCTTGGTGATTTTGTAGATCATAAAATGTCTTCTTGATGATTTTGTAGATCATAAAATGTCTTCTTGGTGATTTTACTATAAAAATTTATTTTTATATTTTTTTAATGGTGCATTGATTGTCCTTTTTCTATAAAAAATGTATTGTTGGTCATTTTATTATAAAGTAACAGATGTTGGTGTTTTTACCAGGAAAGTTTGTATGTTTTGTTTGTTTAACGGCATAACAACTCTTTATGGATCATTTAATGCCAAAATTTAATTTTCTTCGGAGCTTTGAAGTAATAAAAATAGGATAAACGTTATTCTGCTTTCACAGTTGAATACATGGCAGATGATACTCAGCTTTTGTGTATGTACATATTTGGACATAATTACTAGAAGCAGTGATACGTGTGTTTTGTGGAAGTTATATTTTGGACTACAGTTTGATTTCTTTAAGAAATTATAGGATATTACGTGGATTAATGTCATGAACGAGTTCTTTCATGCTGGTTGTTTGGTTAGCTACATATCGACCTCTCTGGGTTATTTAATGCTGAAGTATAAATCTGAACACAATTTTGTGGCTTCAAACACGGATAAAATGTATTGTTGGTCATTTTTTTATATAAAAATATATTGCTGGTATTTTTACTATAAAAATGTATATTTATATTTACTTACCATTTTGTTTCTGTTCGTGGAGTACACTATTTGCCCATAGCTGGGCCCTAACAGGTGCTTCCATCCAGGGTCAGGGCGGATCTGAGAACGATAGGAATTAAGAGATGGTTCCATGCTCCTCAAAACCTCCTGATCAGAGGTCTTGCTGCCGGATGTAGTTTATCGTCATACCCAGGACTACATTGTATTTAGATGCATTCATGTAGCGTATGCGATATATGGCTTCAATAATACCTGAGATTTTTACTAAGTAAATTATTGCTTATTTTAAATCTCTTAAAATAAATGGCCTAAAAATGTCTATATCCATTTGTTTTTTTATTTAAGATAAATCAATTTTGCAAAATTGAAAAAAAAATAGATGCATGGAAGACATTCAACCATGTTGCCTTCTTATGTGAATGAATTCATGCAATATGTTTTTATCAGTAATGATGCCACAGGTATATTTGACCATCTTCTTGAATTTTGCCCTCAAACTTTTATAACTTTAAAAGATTCTCATGTGTATCCAATATAAAAGAATAAATATCCATTTCGGCTTAAACATTTCTGAAGAACTGGAGGAGGAAGAAAACCCAAAATGGTTGGATTCATTTTCAAATATTTATTATCTCCCTTTGTTTGTGAAAGCACCTCTTTAGTAAAGCCCCCCCCCCCCCCAATGTGTGTGTGTGTATTAACATTACTATACAGCTGAAGCTCTACTGAAAAGCAATAATGTCAGAAAGGAAAATACATCTGTTTCGCAGAAATCTATTTAAAAGTTGGAAAAAGGATATCATCAGTAGTCAGCTTTATCTCTTGTATTCAAGAATTTAATTTCTTTCCTGGGTATGATGATGAACTACATCCGTGTCCAGGGTAAGACGATAAACTACGTCCAACAGCGAGGTCTCTGATCAGGAGGTTTTGAGGAGCGTGGAACCACCTCTTAATTTCTGGTGTTCCCAGGTCCACCCTGACCCGGGGTGGTAGCACCTGTTGGGGTCCCGGCTATGGGTAAATAGTTAACCCTGAAACTGAGGTAAAAAGTATTATGAAAGTGTAAAAATAGGTTTTAATACCAGAAATACATTGTAAAAAAATTATTACCAGAAATAAATTTTTGAAGAAAAAAAACTATTACCAGCAATGTTTTTAAAAATAATATTACCAGATTTACATTTTTGAGGAAAAAAATATTAACAGAAATAGATTTTTGACAAAACAAAAATATTACCAGGGGAAAAAAAAAATAATAATAATTTGTCGGCATTAAATGACCCATTAAGGTTGATGTGCCATAAAACAAAACAAATTTGCTTTCTGATCACTTCTTTTATGGCGATGGTGTTGATGACTAAGAAGGCCAATTCTTGTGTGGGAGAGTCAATGGCATTGACTGTATAGTAATGGTGGTTGCGGACAAGTTTTGTTTTTTAGTCAAGCCTTTCTTTATTGTTTGACGTCTTCCTTTTCAAAGTTTTTGGTTCTGGTGGTGATGTTCCATCACCATTTGGTACAGTCTCTGGCTTGTGATACAAACAATTTAGTGATGTTTCGAGTTTTGGTCTTTGTATCTTTGGAGAGTGCAACCCAATGGTCTTTTCTCTGAAATGATCTTGCTGAAGAAGACTTTACATGAAAACCAGGACTCTTCCATTCTTACTATGTGTCCTGACCATCAAAGACGGTGTTTCATGATTAGTGATTCAATGCTTTAACTGTTGGCTCTTTTTACATTACATTGCATTCACTTATGTGCTAATATCCTTGGGAAAGGTATGAATCATCTTCTCCTCCCAGCTATGGGTAAATAGCAGGACCGTCCGGATTCTATAGCTTTGGATGGCAACTGGTCTACCGCAGAAAGAAATGGCAACCTACTGCGGGGAAAAAATATCTGCCTTGTTGGTTATGCATTGAAAGATACATGATTGCCTAAGCTTGTATCACACATGGCATATAACTAACTGACGTCTCTTATCATTTAAACATTATTGTAATAAGTGCTGAATTTGGCACTGTTTATTCCAGCATCCAGTATAAAATATATCTATGTTCTTAGATGCCTGTGCAGCGATGTAGAAAATACTTGAGTTGGGTGTCTTTGGGTGCGGTTTAACCCACTGAGGATGATGGAATCCTAATCCTTTGATACAGTATCCCTCTAGAAGTAGGAAAACTCTGATATAATATGTGCCTCGGTGCTAATCCTGCTATCTTGCATATTCTTGTCTCCTGGATCCTTAGCATTGTTGGTGTGAGTCATTGCATAATTCCCTGCATGGGCATTATGGACATCTTATATATTAAAAAATATACATAATATCCTCTGTTGATTGCACAACTCAGAATTTCATGCTAATTGCAATGTTCAAGTGTAAGTTTGGGGTTACACTAATTTAATATTTCTGGCTATCACGAGATATTTTATTGCTAGGGTGGATTATTAAGTATTCAAATGAATTGTAGTGCAATTTGAGATTTAAATTTAGGCGCAGATTAACATTTAAGATTGAAAATAAGAATTATAAATTAGCAATATTTATCCATTTGATTATATATACACATTTATATATAATGTGTGTGTGTGTGTGCAAATATATAGAAAAATAGGAAAGAACACGTTAAAAGTTCTTTATTATTTTTAAAAAACAGTGCTCATTACAAAAGTAGAGCCTAAATTATAATTATTTTAAAAAAAAAAAAAATGATTCCTTCGCTACATAAGAGTTCTCATGTTTCAAAAACAGGAGCTAAAATCTTCAATTTAATTATAAAAATTGAATTAAAGTATCATGCTCTGTTTCATCTTCAAGCAAAATTAGTTATTCCAAAAATTTCACTTCAAGATGAAACAGAGCTTGATACTTTAATTCAATTTAATTTCAATAATTAAATTTTTAGCTCCTGTCTTTTAAACATGAGAACTCTTATGTAGTGAAGGAATCATATTTTTAAAAATAATTATAATATATATATAATGCAAGACTCTTTGGTAAATCGAATCAAGTTCTCTCAGTCACTGTGTGTTTATCTAAAAATAATTACGCTTAAATTCACCTTCATCTCTGCCGTGCACCAACGGCTTAGTAGTAGAATCCCGACTGACGCCAATTCAGTCGGGTTTCAATCCTACCTAGAGGCAACCAGACGTCTAGCCACACTAATGAGCTCTGATACAGCGAAACAGTCTGTCTGTGGATGACTAATATATATATATATATATATATATATATATATATATATATATATATAATATAATGCTGTTTGTTTTATAAAAAAAAAAAATTTTTTTTCCCCCTCCAGGTCAAAAAGATAAACTCGATTTTATGGTTGATCTCGAAGATGAAGAGAAAAAGAACAAGACAAGACGCCACCAGACTAAGGCAACCCAGAAAAAGGAACAGTTCATGTGAGTTTTCTTTCTTAATTTATCTCCTGCATTGATGTCTGCATTTTGGACACCTGTGGCCCGTTGCACAATTTTGGGACAAGCATACAATTTATGGCCTGCAAGGTATAACAGTACAAGAAAGCACTTTTCACCATGTTACTTCTGCCAGCTCTGCTGCAATAATTTTGAGATGCAGATGTGCATTTTTTAGGAAAATGACGTGTGTTGAATTTTGATTCATTTTCCAATTGTAAAAACGGAGACACAAGATTTAATGGCTACATATTTTATTTATTTTATTTTTTTTACCCCCATTAAAATGATTTTACCCTGTTAATTTTTTAAAAAAAAACTACCATTAATTTTTTTTTAAAGTCCTATTAAATTTTTAGATGTTTCTATTAAAATAATTTTTAACCCCATTAAAATAATTTCTTTCCTGTTTACCGATTCAATTGCTTTTAGGCCCAACAAGAAACGGCAACACAAAAATGAACGTTTTGGTTTTGGAGGCCAAAAGAAACGCTCAAAGTCGAACACAGCTGAGAGTTTTGATAAGATGACACCAGTTGAAAGCATGATGATGAAACAAAGTTCACGCCGACATCCAGGCAAGAAACCGGCAGCAGTAAGTTGAATTTTGCAAATAATTTTTTTTTTTTTTTTTTTTTTTTTTCCTGTTGGGGAACAGATGATAGTCAGGTGGGTCCCAATCAGGTGAATAATTGGAGGGTTAACAACTAGTTCAAAGCCACAGACAAACACAGCAGCCATTGAAACCAAGGATTTGTCTGCTAGGGCATTGTCCTGATGAAACAAGAACCGTTTCTTCAGTTTTTCTTGGCGTTTTGTCTTGATAGATTTGTTTGATTTCGCATTTTTTCAGCAGGTTAGGATATTACTCTCCATTGATGGTGTGGCCCGTCTGAAGACAGTCAATAAACACAATGCTTTTTGCATCCCAAATAACTGAGCCCATCACCTTACCTGCAGGTGTAACGACCTTGGCGTTCTATGGAGCAGGTGAGGACAGGTGTTTCCACTGCATGGATTGTCTCTTTGCCTCTGGCTCAAAGTGATGGACCCAACTAAAACATTCAAGGAAACATTCAAGGAAACCAGCTGCGTCAGCCTCAGACAATATCAGATTTTCCCGTGATGTGATCAGCCTGGTGCGCTTTTGATCAGGTGTCAGAAAACATGGCACCCACTGAACAGAAACCTTTATGTAGAATATTCTCAACTCCCTCTCTCTCTCTCTCTGGATATATTAGTAGCATTGCCTATTTGATTTATAGTCAATTGTCTGTTATTCATCACCATAGGGTAAACACGACCAATTTTTTTTCTCAGTCGTAGCTGTTGAAGGTTGATCAAAATATTGGGTCATCTTCAAGACCCTCACCTTCCCCTCCTAAGTTCACCTGCTCACTTTTGCACTGTTGATAAAGCCGGGGTGTCATCCCCCTATTTAGCAACTATTTCAGCATGAATGTCCTGCAGGTACTTGATAACATAGGTACCTCCACGAAATCGTTAAAAAAAGAGCACAGCTTGATGAAAAAGACGCCAACCTTGCCGAAAACAAAATTTTATTGTCTAAATGCTTATGTTATTATTAAGAGGAAAGACCAAAGTTTTTTTTAATTATTTTTAAAAAATTTCCTTCTTTTTAGAACATTCTAAATTTTGATTAAAAAACCTTTTTCTATTTGTATCAGCGGAACTAGTAAATAACAGACAATTTTTTAGCACGTTTTTTTTTGTATGACACACATTAATTTGAAAAAATCGTGCAAAAATAGAAATAATTATCGGATGTTAATGAAACTTTCAGGAACTATTCACAGACGATCGAAATTATTATAAATATGTTTTTTTATGAAAGTCATGGTAGAAATATTTTTAAAAAATATTTATTACCCCCCATAACTAATTTTATGAAAACGCTAGAAATTCGATCACATCAGTTTTAGTGATTACAATAATTAAAAAGCACAGGGCTTTGAGGAATGCAAGTCATGTTTTTTTTTTTTTTTTTTAATTGGATACGCAGTACCTGAAAATCAGCTCTGAATTGTAACATACAAAACTCAATAAAACAAAGATATTATTTAATTTCAAATGCTTTTATTTGCTTTTAGTTGTTTTTATGAATATGGACAATATTTTCTGAAAGCAAAAAAATTTTTTTCAATGAAAAATGAATTTTTAATACAATTATTTGTTATTTCATTAATTATAATAGATTTTACATTTAAGTTGTTAAAATATTATAAAATTAGTTAAAAAGTCGCATCGGCTTTCATAAGTGTCCTATGAGATAGATCTTTTTTAGCGTTGTAAATTGTATCATTTTGACTAATCAGAAGATCCCCAGTAATTAAGAAATGTAATTTTGTGCTTATAATCGAGCTGTAATTATAAAATACGGAAGACCAACCAGAATATAATTAAGTTGCGTTATTTGAGTTAAGCATTGTTCTCCGCTGTTAAGGCCTTTACTTTTTATGTAAACACGTGTGGAGAAGTTAATTTGATTTTCAATTTCAACTGAGAAGGGTACCTACAAGTATCAGTATCATCTTATGAAATTTATATGATCTTATTTTTATATTAATCTCAGTTACGACATTTTCCCATAAATGAAATATCAAAATTAATAATAAAATGAATGCAAATACAAATAACAGTAGAATGTAATAAATGTACATAAAATTATAGTATTTTATGTACAATTCTGATAAAATTTCATAAGAAAGGTACCTATAAATTAATTAGATACCTTTCTTATGAAATATGAAATTTAATGTCACTCTTAACAGTTTTATTTTAATTTCTTTTAGAATATATTTCCCATAAAGCATCATAAACGTAAATGTGAAAGCTAAGTACAAAAAAAAAAAAAAAATAGACCGCTGAAAGTTTTCGTAAAAAATAACGGGGGTAAATAATTTGTTCACGTAAATGTAAATTATTTCACTTTTCTCCTTCAGTAGAACAAATTAGCCTCATGGAATTAAGAATATATCATTCATCACATGTCAAGAGACGCGAAAGTTTATGACCTGCTTTGTTTTATTTTCAAATTACATCCTTTTTTGGCACAAAAGCTAAGTTATGTTTGGTTCAAAATATTTTAAATAAACATTATAATTTCTGATTTTCTTAAAATAAGTTTTGAAAAAATGATAATTGATATTTAAAAAATTTCAAAGTCAGATTTCCAGTTTTTTAAAATGGAAAAAAATGGTCAATTTTGCTGACTCAAAAAAACTAGATTTTTAACGAAAATTTCGGACGTGCTAGGAAACGATTAAAAAATGGAAAAAATACCCCAAAAATACTTTGACCTTTCCTCTTAATAATAACAAACATTTAGATGATAAAATTTTGTTTTCGTCAAGTTTACGCTCTTTTCATCATGCTATGCTCTTTTTTAGCAATCTCGTGGAGGTACCTATGATAACACCACAATTAAGAGAAGTCACTGCTAGTTACTTTTGAAGTCTTCTTTGCACAGTCAGGTGTCAATTTACCTGGAAAGAAACAATGCAGTTATTAATAAGAAGAGTTGAAATTAATGCATGCAAGATTTCACAGCTCTAGCATCACCCCTTCATAGTCAGCCTGTGCCTGTGAACTTTTCAGCCCACGTATCCATACATGCATACACACACATACATATTATTTAATAAATTTAACTAAAATAAATAAATAACTCCTGTGATATTGCAATTTTTAATGGTAATTAAAACCAAAAACAGGTACTATAATATCAAACACTGTATCCTGCCTTGATCTGACATTTCTTCATTGGTGATATTGTGAGGTATTGTTGTGGCGTCCTGGATTCAAATGTTATGATCTCTAATTGCTGAAATCCGACCTGATGCAGGATCTTCATCCAGTAAATGTTTTTTTACAAGAACTTATTAACAGACGGATCTCTGGCCTTCCATCACAAAACCTTTGATGTTCTTTTCCTATTTTTCAGGTCAAGAAGGGTAAAAAGCAACAGCGTCCAGGTAAAAACCGAAGATTACAAAACAAATTCAGAAATAAGAATAAGAGAAGGATCTGAAACGTGAAATAGATGTGGATTTTATGTTTTTGTAATAAATTCTGTCATTAAACAAAGAGTCTTCATGTTTATTTAATTCAGACAAGTACCAATTCCAGTTAAACTCTCATTCCTTTCTGTAAAATAACAATAATAAACAGCACTTACCGGCATAAGGGTCCCAGCTAGCATCCAGCTGGCAGACAAAAATAAAGCAAATAAAATAAATACAAACCCTGCAAACTAACTGATGAATCAAGCTGGTATTTATACAGAAATGCCTCCACTCATGTACCAGCAGCCAATCACAGCCCAAGCAATGGACTATCCCACTTTAGCACAATGAGATGCTCCATGGCACCATAAATAGCTCTCTTAAGGTTGAGTTATGATTCACTCAGCTTGCCCCACAACTGAGTGCTTATCTTGACCACGTGATTGTTCAACACTTTCATATTCCTTTGGTCAAATGTAGGTTCTACTTGAGAAGCATCTTCCTACAAACTTAAACTCTGGAACCGACTCCCAAGGGGATGCTTCCTCGATCACTACAATCTTAATCTGTTCAAGAGTAACATATCTGCATACATTATACTGTTACTCTGTAACCCCTACTTTGAGTGGCTCCCGGGCATTGTGCAGGGTAAATACTGCATAAAAAAATATAAAACTATTAAAGGCAGGAATTGGCCAGTCAGGTGTTTTCATGACGGTGCCATACCCCACAGGAGTTTGCACAGCTGGTCTGGAATTTCCTGTGCCCATCATATTTGCCTGAATTTGCACCTTTGCATTACAATTTATTTTGATTCTTACTAAATTATCTTAATGTGAACATCAGTTCTCTGGGAGCAAGTAAAAGCCACTTATACCATTTCCACTTGTCTTAGGAAGTTTCCAGACACACCAAAATTCTTAACTCTACCAACGCCACTGATCTGGATAAAATCCCTGCAGTGGTTCTTAAGAATCCTAGCCCCCGAGTTAGCTAGCAAGTTATTTAGCCACTGCTTGAAGGAGAAATGCTTCCCAAGTCTGTGGAAATGGTTATTTGTTTGCCCTTTTCAAGAAAGCATATTCCTCCGCACGCCCATCAGCCTCTTTAATATCATCAGCAATCTCTGAGTTTATCAAGGAGGAGGTTGTTTGTTGCCTTACCAGAAACAACACAAGGATACCAAAGCCTACTGTGGAAATTACAGAAGCATTTTGCTTCTCTCCATCGCTGGAAAGATCTTCGCCATGGTCATCCTCAACTGACTCATTACAGTCTCCGAGGAAAGGCTCCCAGAGGCGCAGTGTGGCTCCTGCATAATACATTATAACATAATTAAATAAATTTAAATATGCATAACACGAAATATATCTATACAATTCTCTACGCTACTTTCGAATTTTTTTTTTATAGACATATATCTCAGATGTTTGGCAAGTACTTAGTAGGTGAAGAGGTTATGTGGGTGTGTCATTGTAAAACGTAATCTGTTTGGCGGTAAAAAATTTCATATGACTTGATAAATAGATGCATGCTGGTTTGCTGCCGTTACATATTTTGTGAGGGAGAAACAAGTATGTATAATAAAATATATAAATACTATTAATTTCTTATTGCATTTGATCTTAGTAATATTGTATAATGATTACTATATTTTCCAGCTTGGAAGATATGCACCCTAATATCGGGGTGGGAAAAAAAAAAATGTAATTCTCATACAACACATTCACCATGCATCCCTCACATACTGGCACCACATATTGTTTACATTAATCATTCATCCGATTTTTGTATGGCAATGACATACTCGTCAAGAGCAGAAAGGCTCCCACTGCAGTTTACACTTAAGGCAATTTCTGCTATATTGGTCTAACAATTCAGCTCATGCTTCCTACCAACTCGCTGCCCATTTACATACCGCGACGTGTGGCTGAAAATACAGACGGGTGGCCTTGGAACCACCTGGCAGACAAATCCGTCTCCTGTCCGAACTGACTCCCCAATTCCAAGCACATCTTTAAATAGTGACCAGCAAGCGGATATACCCTATGTCCAGTTTTGTTATCGCTTGCACTCCAAAAGTCCTCATCCACGCCTTTACTATTCCATTTCCCTTCAAAGTTTGATTCTGCTTGGAAAATATCAGAGAACCCATTCACTGGCCATAAAGCAGAAATATTTGAGATCGAGTTAAAATCACATCTTTCCCTGCTGTGTGGGCGTCGATTGTGCTACACCCATCTTTGTTGTTGCTATAACAACGTTTCGGCTGTTGTGCCCTCTGGCCTTCGGCAGGTAATTATCAATCCAGGTAACCTCTGGTAAATGCACGTAGAAGTCTCGTCAGTCTAAATCTAGTTCTCAACATAGTTTCTTTCCTTCTCCTCTGTTATATTCCTAAATGGGGTATGTTTCCACTTCATAGAAGCTGAAAAGAAAGCAATGGTTCCTGGCTCGTGTATGTCCAAGTTGCTTTTTTGATCTTATTGCCATTCTTCTTTTACGTGTGTTACGAGCGGGGCGAAGCTTCGAAGTATGATCAAATTTTCTCTGATGACCCCAGCTGCTGTGTCATAAAAAAATTTATATTTATGTCGGATATTCAGGTTGGCTCAGGGATGTGGTTCGGGTATAAACATGGATTCAGCCAAAATTTGGTTAACAGAAAGAAAGCAGCAAAATAAAGGTAGCAACGATTTATCCAAATAAATGATGAAGATGATCGTAACAATAACAAAACAATTTAATTTATAACTTGAGGGAAATAGATTTAAGAGTGGAGATAGTTTTGAGGTGTGATGGAATAAAATAAAATGTTTTAAAATTTTAATATCCAAGTGAATTAATGTTCACATAAGGAAGAAAATTATAGATATATATCTCAGACAGTTATTTTAATGTTCACATAAGGAAGAAAGTTATAGATATATATCTCAGACAGTTATTTTAATGTCCAAGTGAATTAATGTTCACATAAGCAAGAAAGTTACAGACAGTTATTTCAATATAGAAATTAAAATTTACAAAAGATCATTTTTACTTAGCTTTCTGTCCGTTAGTTGCAATCCATCTTCTTCGTTTTACAGAGTGTTTTATTTTAACCGTTTTTTCAGCAGAGCGTTTTTAAGACACTTTGTCTTTGTTGCCATGGATATGAGTGTTTTTAAGACTCGTTTTCTTGGTTGCCATGGTTATTCTCGTCACACGTGTCATGTAGGATGTGAGCGATCCTGGCTCTCCACAACTACCTTATAGCACTTAGCAATGTCTGTCCCCTTGCTATACGTCCCTCTTGCTGTTTTGTCGTTCATTTACACGATCTCGTTAAGTATGTTACTCACTATTTCCCTCTGCTCATCTTTCCTTCAGTATGTCCTGTCAGTGTCAAATTCTTCAAGCCCATTTTCCTCATTATGCGTCCCTGAAACTTTGACTACCACTTTCTGATCTTAAATTGAAGTGTCCTTTTCGCTCCAGTTTTCCTGATAAATTCTATGGTTATTCAAATGTTCAGTTCATGGTATTATCAGCATCCTTCTGCAGAACAACATCTCTGTTGCCTCAAGTCTCTTCTTCATCTGTGAGGGGATTGTTCCTCGTTACCCGTCATGTAAATGCATTGATATTACGTAAAAGTTGTACACTGTTATATTTTTATTCCAACGAACCTGTAGAAGAAAAAAGTGTGTGAAAATCGAAGAAAAGAAATAATCTTCAAGCATAGCTCTACAAATTAAAATAATTTTTTATTGAGTATAAAAATAATCTTTGTTTTCTTTTAAGTTGGAAGAAACAAATTACTCGCAAAGTTCAGTGATTTTTTTTTCTTTTTACAACATAAGTAATGAATCGCGTTAATATAGAGTGAAATTTACATCTAAGTTTGTGATGCGAAAGTTCACGATTTTACGTTATTTTATGTATGCGTATGAATGATGTGTAATTCCAGCAGTCAGCCGAATAAATGCTGCATTATTACTACTGCTGCAGTTACGTTTTGTTTATATATCTCGCTCGTGTATTTTTCGTATTGTAAATCGTGCGAACTGGTTTATGAAAATACTTTAAAAGCGAGAATTAATTTGCAAAAAAGAACTTGAGAATTTAGTATTGTTTGTATCCCCCGGTCGATTTATACTCAAGACTGAACTTAATAATTTACGTCACGCTAATTATAAGAAAAAATTAAGTCTAATCACGGTTAGATGTATTAAACTAGGTTTTATTGGTTAATAAATATATTTCCCAATTTTTAATTTCGGTTTTTAGGAGGGAAAATATTGCTAATTGTGATCCTTCAAATATTTGGTAGCAAACGACATGAATGGTCGTCTGCTTTTTTAAACTTGAATGTCGTTTGAAATGACGTCGCTGATAGGTTAATAAATGCTAAATTTTGGAAATTTTAATTTTTTTTGCATAGAATTGTGATTTTAATGATGCTACTTAATTCTATTGATTTTTCTTTCTACATTTTTTTTTCTGTTTTTTAATACTTTGCTTAGTTTTTGGAAGGCATCTTTTGCTATTCCAATTCGTTTACGGATTTTTGTGTCACATTTTCCATGCTATATAACATTTTGCATTCTGTTAAATTTCTGTACTTTCTTTATTTTGATGTCTCTAATTTGTTACTCGCATCTTTAGTTGTCCTGCTTGCTAATAACTATACAATGTCTTCTTATAATTCATAGTCCTTTCATCTCGCTTTCCTTTATAGCCCAGCCGGTTAGGACGGTAGAATATACCATTTGCATCCATGCAGAGGGGTAAGAACCCACCCTAAATGGGGTCACTTGTTTTTTGTGAGTGGCGACTCATAACGTCTGAGGACGGGATCCTGGTGGCTGAGCAGTTGATGATCCTGGGTATTGACGTCATCAATTGCATTACTCAACTTTGGTTCTTTACTTGGGCTAAACAGGTGGTCAGGGAGGCCAAATCTGGTCAATCGGCTAGTCACGTCAAACCCTATGTTGTAGAGTAGTTTTCACAGTGGAGGCTTGTATTTCAATAAGTCGTCCTAAATTAGGTTCGACGTACAAAACGTTAGGAACTTGAAATAAGAGTTAATGACGCAGCAATCTAGTTGTGATGGTTGATACTTCAATGTCCGACATCGACTGACTCACTTAACACCACTGAGCCCAACTGGCGACCGCTACTACTACTACTACTACTTATTATGTGTGGGAGAGTCTATTAATAATAGAATAGGTACGTTTAGGTATGACACCCTAATATACCAAAAGCCCTCAATCATACTTCCAAACTTCCAATCCAAAGCCATACACCCTATCACATTACCTAACAAATAAGCAAACATAAACTAAAACATATAAAGAAACACAATTAGAGAATTAGAATTAGAAATGCGAGTCAAAATTTCAACTTCATCATTACACTTGGAAACTTTGATCAACACGTCCACGTTGAATCATTTAGCCGAGACGGTTGTGTACGAGGAGAACATGCCATATCGGCATATTTAGACCTTGAAAAAGCATACGATATGACATTTGAAATATGGTAGTCTGAAAGATTCTCTTGCTTCATAATCCTTCATTCATAATATGGATATGAAACGTGGACACTGTTGGCAGAACAGAGAGTAGGATCCAAGCATTTGAGACAAAAATGCATGAGAAAACTCTTACATTTTCTATTGGGAACAAAAAAACAATTTGTGTGGAAAAGGATTGAAAGTTTTATGGGACACCAGGAATTTCTTCTTGCAACTGTCAAACGGAGAAAAATGGCGTGGTTTGGACATATTACAAGGCACGTCGGCCCGTGCAAGACTATCATCCAAGGCACCGTTGAAGATGGACGTAGGAGAGGACGCCAACACAAAAACTGGTTGGGTAATGTCAAACAATGAACAGGTATGACTGTACCAGAATTAATGATGGCTGCCGTTGACAGACGGTTGAGGAAAAGAGTTAGTGTGACTTCTGCATTCGGATCCGAAGTCAAGAAGATGATAATGATCCTGAAAGATGTAAACAATTTACGAATAAAGGGCAGAATTATATCTGCCAAAACTGAACCACTGCAACTTTTGGATAGAAAATAAAAGAATATATATATATATATATATATATATATATATATATATATATATATATCTGATGCGATGAGAACAAAAGTAATATATAAATTCCAACGTTCACAGCATTAATCCAAAAGAGGGCCCGATACCGATAGTAGAGCGATAATTATTTATTTGTTATAATTTTATCATATAGACAAAACCATTTTACTTACTACAAAGATGCGACTTCGTTTCAGTGCATTTCAACTGCACTTCGACGGGTGAGAATCGAAAATGGTTATCTATTTACCATTTTCGATTCTCACCCGTCGAAGTGCAGTTGAATTGCACTGAAACAGTTGCATCGTTGTAGTGAGTAAAATGGTTTTGTCTATATGATAAAATTATAATATATATATATATATATATATATATATATATATTAACGCATGTTTCATCAAATAATATAGACAAGTTTTGTCTATTTATTTTAAGTTCCTTTCATATTGTCTGATAAGCTTAATAACATTATCAATGAAAAACGAAAGGAAATCACCATATTGATACATGTTTAAATCCAATCTAAGCTTTCGGCTTACATAAGCCATTATCAAAGATGACAATTACATTTCAATATATCAAAACAATACACGGACGAAACAATAATGAGAGTCTGTTTTTGTTGCATGAGAAATTTCAAAGCAACAACAAACTATGAAATCTCCAGAAATATTCTTAAATGTCTATAATTGATAACAGAAACTATTGGTTTTTACCAACGGCTTTCCATACTTAATACTTCTTGTTTTTCATTCTCGCGTGATCATGTGTGACGTTACGAGCTGCGACGCGATTTTCGCTTCCGTGTCTCGTATACACGAGTTTATCGTTACTTTGAAATATGACCAACAACATATTTCATCTGTAGTTGAAGCCATGAAACAGTGTTCAAAATATTTAGATTTCGGAATGAAATAACCCATAGAGGTGTTGATATGCCGCTAAACAAAATCAACCAACCAAACTTTTTCCTTTTTTTTAATTTTTCTTTTTCTTTTTTATCATTCTCTTTTCCGTTGTCTTTTTCTTCTTTTCCTATTTTCTCTCTTTTTTTCCTTTTCGCATTTTCCAATTTTTCTTTATCTATTTTTTTCTTTTTTATCTTTTTCTTTTTTCCTATTTTTTCTTCTTTTTTTTCTTTTTCCTCGTTGCCTTTTTGGGGATTTTTTTCTTTTTCCTCTTTTACTTTTCCTTTTTTTCTCCTTTTTTTTTATCTTACCTCTTCACCTTTTTTTTTTCTTATTTTTTATTTTTCTATTTTCCTTTTTTTTCCCTATTTTTGCTTTTCCCTTTTTTCCCCTGTTTTTTCTTCTTTATCTTTTTTCTCCTCTTTTCTTTATTTTCTTGTGATTTTCTCCTCTTCCTTTTTCTCTATCTTTTCTTCTTCTTTTTTTCTCTTTTATTATTTTTTTCTTCTCTTTTTTCTACTTTTTCTATTTTCCACTTTTACTTTTTCCTATTTTTCTTTCTTTTTTTTTTTTAATAATTTTCTGCAGTGTTTTCAGTTTCCAATTTTCAAAATATAAAGCACCGGAAACTTTTGCACACACTTAATAAAAGCTTATGTATTGTTTACTTCCGTTTATAACCGGAAGTGGGGGGGTACCTCGACGTGCTGTAATGGTAAGCCAACTTGTCTCGCTAGATCAGTTACAACTGAAAAGTGAGTTCGATCCTCACTAGATGCTCCCATACTTTCGGCCTTGTGCCACATCTAAGCTATGCTTGGAAAATAACTTTAACCGGAAGTGGGTAACTGAAGTAGTGGAACACTAAACTTCTGTATAAAAATGACAAGTCTATATCATATTATTGATTTTTTTTTTTTTAATATTTCTATTCCGATGGAGCGTTGGGAGGATTGGATTTATGCCTTCCTTGAGAATATTTTTTTTTTTGCATTGAAAAGATGTTTTATTGCAATATTACATATAAAATAATTGCATTTGTTCATTTTCAAATCTAGAAGTCATCAACTTGTTCCATTAATGACTGAAAACATTTACGATAATGAAAGTGGCTTGATTTCAGGAAAGAAAAGAAAGAATATTTTAGCCTGAAGATAATTCTTATTTCTCCAATTTTAATCAAAACAAATTTCCAAAATAAACCACAAAAAAAAAAATGTCTTTACCCAAAATCTGGTTTTCTTTCTGTGGTCATTTTCCTGTTTACCATTTTTGGAAATTTTCCAACCAACATCTTCACCAAAAGACTTATATACCCAAGAATTTGAAGTCTTAAAAGAATTACCAATAAGAAAGGTGCAAACAAATCTTAAAATATTAACTTTTTTTTTTTTTTAAATATGAGAATAAATTTATTGAAACAAAACAAGTTCAGTTGACCACTGATGACATTACAGTGTAACCCGGATATAAGAGAGTTGTCGGGACCGGAGAAGAAGTCTCTTATATCCGGGTTTCTCTTATATCCGGGTCTCTTATATCCGGGTTACACTGTAGCGAGAAAATGGCATGATTAGGATTTTGGACTCGCTTAATTTAGCCCAGTTTCTTGACACATCAAACCCTCTGATTGTGACAAGCCGACCCTTGTTTGTCTGCAAATGACACCTGTCTTTCGTCAGCCAGTATTTACTCACTTTATACGAGGGGTGCTGAAAACTCCAAGATCCGACCCCCATTCCCAAGACCTGACCACATATCAGAATTTTTTTTATTTATTTATTTTAAGTGTTCTTTAAATCAAGAATTTTTTTTCTGCAACCTCTCGTATCAAAAAAAGAGACGGGGGTGAGGGACGATTTTTTTTCACATAAATTTTACAAAATAAATAAATAAAATCCAGCCTGCTTCCTGGCCCTAACAAATGGTATTTGTCCTGCTCCCACCGTTGACATCTCTCAGTCGCACCTCTGTCTTCAGGCAGAGCGCAACTCAGTTGTGGCTCTGTCTGCGAACAGAGACACAACTGAAAAAAATATCGAGAGGTGGCTGGTTCCGGGGAACAGCTTTCTGTGACAGCACCCCACTCACAACTCCTATGTAATATCGGCCCTCCTATATTGCAGTAAAAGCTGGGCACTTTATTACTAGAGTTGATAGAAGTGGTTCTACAGAAGGATGCTGAGAATACCGTGGAGGGGACATGTGAGCAATGACGAAGTTTTAAGAGAAAAAGCTAACAAATAAGAAAATTTGTATTTAGAACCAGAAAGAGATAGTAAGGAGACAAACATTGCTCAAGGCTAAAACGGATAGGAAGTAGTGGAGAGCCATTATCACCTACTTAACAAGCTTGTGTAAATGGATGCCAGAATAGAGAGATATAGGGAGGGATAATAAAGAGACAAATATTGCTTAGAAGTACAAAAGATAGGAAGTCGTGGAGAGCCATTATTACCTACTTAAGAAGCTTGTGTAAATGGACGCCAGAACAGAGAGATATTGGGAGGGATAATAAAGAGACAAATATTGCTTAGAAGTACAAAAGATAGGAAGTCGTGGAGAGCCATTATTACCTACTTAAGAAGCTTGTGTAAATGGATGCCAGAACAGAGAGATATTGGGAGGGATAATAGAGAGACAAATATTGCTTAGAAGTACAAAAGATAGGAAGTCGTGGAGAGCCATTATTACCTACTTAAGAAGCTTGTGTAAATGGACGCCAGAACAGAGAGATATTGGGAGGGATAATAAAGAGACAAATATTGCTTAGAAGTACAAAAGATAGGAAGTCGTGGAGAGCCATTATTACCTACTTAAGAAGCTTGTGTAAATGGACGCCAGAACAGAGAGATATTGGGAGGGATAATAAAGAGACAAATATTGCTTAGAAGTACAAAAGATAGGAAGTCGTGGAGAGCCATTATTACCTACTTAAGAAGCTTGTGTAAATGGACATCAACAGAGAGATATTGGGAGGGATAATAAAGAGACAAATATTGCTTAGAAGTACAAAAGATAGGAAGTCGTGGAGAGCCATTATTACCTACTTAAGAAGCTTGTGTAAATGGATGCCAGAATAGAGAGATATTGTGAGGGATAATAGAGAGACAAATATTGCTTAGAACTACAAAGTTTAGGAAGTCGTGGAGAGCCATTACCACCTACTTAACAAGCTTGTGTAAATGGATGCCAGAATAGAGAGATATTGGGAGGGATAATAGAGAGACAAATATTGCTTAGAACTACAAAGTATAGGAAGTCGTGGAGAGCCATTATCACCTACTTAACAAGTTTGTGTAAATGGATGCCAGAATAGAGAGATATCAGGAGACAGACATTGCTCAGGGTTAAAGCGGATAGGAAGTTGTGGAGAGTCATGATCACCTAACAAGTTTGTGCAAATGGTTGGCAGAACAGGGGTTGGGAGGGACGGTAAGGAGACAAACATTAGTCAGCGCTACAAAAGATAGGAAGTTGTGGAGAGTCATGATCACCTAACAATCTTGTATAAATTGATGGCAGAACAGAGGTTGGGAGGGACAATAAGAAGACAACATTGCTCAGAATCAAGACAATTTTTTGTATTTCTCTTAAGCCCAGATTTTTCTCAATGTGTTGTTGTGTTCCTTTTTTGATAATTCCAAGCGCACCTACTATAAATTTTACTATTTTTGTTTTCAATTTTTACATTTTTTTCTATTTCGATTTACAGGTCTTTATACTTTGATATTTATTATTATTATTGTTTTTATTTCCTTTGATTTCTGGCGTTTACACATTTCTTTCCGGGTCGCGCCCAGAGACCTAAGGTTAGAAATGGCATCATGACACTTTCCATTGACAAAAGTTTATTTTTAAATTTTAAAAAAGTAAAAAATAAAAATATTTTACATAGATAAAGCCCTTCGTAAAGTGTGGGCTGTACTTGTGAGAACATTTTTTTGTATTTGTTTGAGGCATGGACTTTCAGGAATCCCTTCAATTCGTCTACTGGAATCTTTTCCAACCAATCCTAGGGCTCCAACTGCAACAGGGATTGTTGATGTTCCCATGTGCCACATTTTTGAGATTTCGATTTCAAGGTCCTTGTATTTTGACAGCTTTTTGAATATCTTCAAAGATACATTGCAGTCAGCAGGGACTGCTATATCAATAAGGAGGCACCGTTTTTGTTTGTGGTATTATTATTATTATTTTCTTTGATTTCTGTTGTATTTGGTCGTTTTTTAGTAAACAGTTAATGGTTCTTTTGTCCTGTAAACAATATCTGGCGGACACATGTGAATCCCAGGTAAAAATAAATAACACAAAATATGGGATTAAATAAAAAATGACAATTAATGCATGTTATTAACAAAAGGGTTTACATCGTTTACACAAAGGGAAAAAAACCCATTAAAACTAGCTATAAGAATGTACTTGTTTGTGTAGAGATTTTCCAAGCGTAGCTTAGATGTGGCACAAGACCGAAAATATGGAGCATCCAGTGAGGATCGAACTCACTTTTCAGTAGTAACTGATCTAGCAAGACAAGCTTACTAACCATTACATCATGCGTGAGTTCAATCAACAGAGGACTAAAGAAACGGACCCTCCCCAGGTATAGCGCCTAGACTTTTTGAATTTAAGCACAGTACCAGACTGTCGACAAGGTCTCACCAATTTACAAGTTGAGCTGGGTAGATGTAAACATTAACTCTATGCTAACAGTTTCTTTTCTTGCCCCTTCTTGCTTGTGGAACTTTCTTTTGACTCCATGCTTTCCAGCCAACTTTGATCCGAAAAAAAAATTAAATGCAATGCCAATCGTTATCTATTATCCTCCTGGTTACTCTTCCTCTGTTCTCACTCTGTAGCAATTGTTTCTGTCTCTAACTCTTCCACACTCTTAACCCCTTGTCTCAGTCGCATTATTGCCTTGTTTGAGGTGATCTCGATTTAAACAAAAAATATCCTGCATTGTAATCACAGTAGTAGGAAAGGAGATATTGTATATGATCCTGGACATAAATTTGTTGTGGGTGTTGCCACTTTAGTTGAGGGGTGTGATCGTTTTATCCAATAAACATTTAATAGTTCCTGGAAGTTTTGCCCCGCAAACAATATTTGGCGGGACTCATGTGAATCCGAGTAAAACGTAGGAACACAAAATATGGAATTTAAAACAAATGGCACTAACAAAAGAATTACATTGTGTACACAACTGACATCAATGGAAAAGACATTAAAACTAGTTATAAGAATGTGCTTGTTTGTGTATGTGTGTGCGTATGTGTGTGTGTGATTTCCATAATCAGTGTGCCAAAGAAACGAACGATCCCACGTGGAGGCTTTTTTTTTTATCTATATTCGACTATATCTGGAAGCAAGAGGAAAAAAGAGAAAGAGAAGGAAATGTTTGCCTTTTTATAAACTTAAATGGCGCCGCCTAACGGAGGTTTTTGGTGAAGCCAAATGCGGTAAGCTACAATACATACGTACATACCTTTTGTTATGAAGTGTAATTTCGTATTTTATCAGTCTAACATATCTCGCATACCGAGAGCTAGCCTATCCTTATTGCTTGGGCGTTTACATAGTCAATGCTCTATGC